TGCAACATACAGATATTAGAGATGACAAATTTTGTACCCTAACATTAATTCTCAGGTAAACGAGATATCACTAATCTATTTGCCAAACTTAATCATGGTTGAGGATGCTAGTGAGTAGCGATTGATGATAAATTAATTCTAATACAATGCTGATTTCAGACTTTGTCAGAAGGTGAAAATTCTAGGTTTGGTTGCTACTAATAAATAGCGTACAGTAGAAGAGAGAAAAACAAGCTTTATAACTATCTGTCAACAATTCATATTGAAGGTTTTATAAATCCTTTTTCTTCCCATCTTTCTAAGAGATTAACTATATCAATGTTCCATAGCCCTAGCCTCAAATAATAGGTTGCATCCTGAGAATAAACAAAACCTAGAATTACGAGAAATATGCATGGCTAAAATGAAAATGAGATGATGGTGCCTCTGTAACTAAACAGATATAATTTGCCCACTTCCAAAAACTAGCTGAGCGAAAAAGTGTACAAGGACACCTCATTATTCCGTAGAGCTGCTTCAAATAATGCAATACACTCAGTTGAATCATAGCTATCCAGCTTCACCATTTCCTCATCTCCAGATGTCTTTCGCCAAACTTGCATAACTGGTTGCCGCTTCCACTTGAAGCCAGGGTTTGGAAGCATTTCATACATGGAGGGGCACTCAACCAACTGAAATATCAAAAGAAAACAGAAAGAGAAAGAATTCAACGAAAATAAGTAGACTTGCTGTAATGCTGTCAGCAGAAAATGCCACATCATTGCTCAAGACTCTTACGAGGAATTACTCAAGAGATCGTCTGTAACTTAGTGCTTCTACAAAATGATGATGAGATCCAATACCTAAAATACATATTAACGATGCCGAATATGATAGCAATGGGGCTTAAAGGATCATTGGAAAAAACAAAGATATAGTAATGAAATAAGAAGAATATGGTCTTTGATATCTTTGCCTCCTCCAGGCTTTTAATAAACTAGAGGTGAAGAGTGGATGACTACTTGTATCCCTGTGAAAGTCAATTTCAGCTTTTCCAAGTAAAGGAGCTGAAAGGTACTAGGTCCGTTTATCCCACGTTAAACAGGATAGTCAAGTGTACGGAAATCATAAACTGGAATAGGATGAAACAAGTATTTTAATGTCTAGTTGGGTTCTAATTCATGTATCTCATGTTCTACAATGCCGCAACATAAAATGCATGCGGTCAAGATAGAAGATGAACATTAAGATGATGATCTCTGTGAATGAGTTCTCGGTTTGAAGATGAAAAGAGAAAAAAGCAATTTTAGCGCATTTTAGTTCACCTCTCAAATCATAGCTAAAGATGGAGTTAAAATACTCTTTTTTGTGGTAGAGGATGTATTTCATGATTATTTTCTTCACAGCTACAATACTTCACAACCTTATGTTCATTTTTTGTAATGCCCCTGATTTTTTTGATTAAATTATATATTTAATTGCGGGGATTTTTGCAAATTTTACAAGTATTTCTACTCACTATGATGAAATTCCCTTAAGTATAAATTTATTAGAATGAGATTCATGAATTAATCATAAATTCGACTTAATAGTAAAGGGAATTTGCATATATAACCCCTAGGGTTATAAGAGTAAAAGAAATAATAATCATGATATTCTGCAAATAGGTTCAATGCCTATAATACCCCAGATTATTGTTTCTCTTCTTTTTCTGAACGTAATGTTTGTAAGCAGGAGTTTTACAAGAAAGGGCGGTTAGAGAGAAGAATCACAGCTAGAGAGAACAATCTACAACTCAAGCGAGGGTTTCTCCACTTTGTTTCTTGTTTTGGGGATTTTTCTCTTCGTTATCTCTACGCATATTCTTCGTTTGGATCTGGCAAACCCTAGCTTTTCATGCTAAAACTAGTTAGGATCTTTTATTGATGATTCCCTGGTGTTTTAGAGAAGTTTTGGTAACATCTAATAGGGTTTTCCAAACACAGATCGTCAGATTTGAAAACTATGCACATGTTTTACAAAAAACGCTAGTTTTTCATTTTCCTTGTTGTTTAATCTTGGAAACATGGTAGAAACATGTAATTCTTGGTCCCTAAAATAATTCCAAAGATTCATGAAAACATTGGAGGTGAAACAGATCAATCGTCGGAAGCAACGTTCGATGCAGTTGTCTGATCATGCGACATTAACGTCTAATCGCGGTTGACAGAAACCCAACTTTTGGGTTAATTTACAAAGGCGTCTGATTTTACTTGGGAGATGACTGACATATATTCTAGACATCTAGTTAGTTTTCAGCCGTCTGATTTGATTTTGAATCATTTTTATCTCTATTGAATTATAGTTTAGTCTAATTAGACTAATTATCAGTTCTAAACCTTTCTGAGAGAGAATGTCAGTATTTAATGATGTAGTAGTCTCATGAGATATCTACACAATATATGAAGTATTTTGAGCACTCGAAAAACTCAGCACATGTTAAATGTATATAGAACTCGCTAAAGGCGAACAGTTAAATGAATATCACTATAAATTAAATAGTGTTAGAGTTAATGATATATTAGGATGTTGCACATAATCATCATACATGTAGACAGGTGTAAAAACATGTATCCTAGACTATGGAGTGTAGCCCAATGTAATTAGACCTAATACATGATTCAACTAAGCAGCTGATCCCTTACTGGACCGTTCTGGTTAGTACTAACTAGATTATGTGAGGTCGCTATAGGATGTGGATTTTAGTGCATAACATTACATGTACAAATTAAATAATAGCGGGATGAGGGATAAGTAATGAGATGAATCGTGTCTTATGGTTGGTTGGCTAAAGGACTCCAAGGTAACTACTTATTTGATGATTTTGTATTAATTATATGTAACCACCCACCTTAAATGAGCAGACTAAATCATTTCATATCCAAATAAGAATGTAATTAATCTTCTTTAATACATTGTTTATGTTTTAATATATGTTGCATGCACAACACTACAAGATATATCCTTTCAAGACTTATGATCATTATCATCATATTTCATATATTCATTCTTATTTAGCTGATAAAGATTTGATTACTATTTTGCAGCTAACCATTAATTCTTGTAGTTCCTCACATTTTCTCGCTTAGACCTTACGCTAACCCTTTTTGTAGACCCCCTTCTTCAGGTAATGAAGTGAGTCCAACTGTCACAGACCAAACTTACTTGACTAAGCATGTTATGAGGAAGCAGCCAAAGCCATGTAATAGCAATCATATAAACAATAATAGTTAACTGTTTATTTATTTAGTAGATACTTCATGATATTTCTCTAAGTACAACTATCTAGTTTTGATGACTGTGTTTGAGCCAAGACTTGTATTTATCTTTGAATATTGAAGTTACCTATCTAGTGGACTTGATATTTGGACAATTTCATATATCTCTTTCTTATTTCCGCTTGATATTTCTACGATGCTAATGTTGTTGTGATAAGACATATACTTTTATATTTATTTATATTGTGAGTGATTGTGGATGTATAACATAACAGGTCACAGAGCATTTATAGAACAGTTTATATTTTTGATTCTACAAATATTCTGCCTACTAGGTCATTTCTCGTAAGCAGGTTGTGACATTTTGTAAGTCAGGAAACCAAGCAATAGCTTATATTTAATGAAACTTTGCAAATTTGACAAGAGATAGATATCCAGCAGGATTTTATAAGAAGATATGTTGCATTTTTTCTTTAAGTCCATTTAATCCTTGAATCTCTGTGTACAGATTGTGACATAAGACCCATCTATAAAAATGTCTCTGACAAATGTGAGCAACTTCAAAAGGATCAACCACCATAACTTGCCAGGTTGTCCTCCACAATCTTTATTTTGGATTCTTCAGGCTTTAGAAAGCAGATGAGAGAAGTGGAAGCCAGGTGATAAGAGGGATAGGAGTCTTATATCAAGTGGAAGGTCAATGGGGGCCCTCTCTCAAAACCTATCACCAACGAACCAATGACCCATGATCTAGGAGAAAAGAGAGTAAAGTACAATAGTACATGCATGAACCAATAACACAAGATGGACTGAGTTGAGGAAGAACAAAGGGTGTCATATCATAATTAATTTATTTTTAGTGTATGTACTTATATTATCTGAAAGTAGGACTTTGTTTTTAGTGTTTATAAGTCTATTTCCACTAAATAAATAATTTATATCCTACATGGCAGTCATTCCTCATATAAGCTTCATCTAGAATGTTCAAGGAATTACCAGTTGATGCATTGTCCATCTGGATACAAAAAAGAAGCTTTCGAAACCATAAACAAATTGTAGTCCTGTTAATAGGGAATCATTGATGGTTCCTGGTGCACCTATCAAATGTAACACACTTCAGTCAATTGTCAAATAATCATAATCTTTTGTAAGGATAACTTTGGTAATCAATACCCAACTCCTGCAGTATATTAAATTAAAAATGCAAACAAAACTCGGACAACATAAGTTCAAAAGATGAAGGATGTCGGCTTACATTAGTTACCTTGGAAGGGACATGCTATGCAAATCCACTTGTTCACGTAATTTGCAAATACCTGATGAAATATAAAACAGTTCATGCTTCATTTGCCAATGCGATGATGTTTACATTCTAATAGTGCAACCAAAACCAAAGGAAAGGATAGACATCTCATAGCCATAAGATAGTGAATAAACTCACATCATTATACTGCGACAAGAAGCATTGAAGAAGCAAGCCGCCCATAGAATGTGAAATTATGTTTATTTTTTTCCCTCCAGAAGCCTTGTAAGCAGATTCCAGCTTTAATTTTAGGCCATCCATTGCTTTGTCAATTCTGCCAGAGTAAAGCCATATCTAGAGATGAATTCACTGCCTTTGAATAGACGTTAGAATTTCCTTATAGTCATCTTGAGTGGGTTATTAATTCTTTGCATTATTCCCTACTCATACAAGTAAAATGTGGATGATGTCCTACCTATTGCTTTGTCGGAAGTCATAACCATATCCAAAAAGTGTGGTCCCTTTCTCGTATCCACATTCAATGAGCATATCAATCATATCATGGAAATGATATACGTCTGTGAGATGTAAACATCTTGTCCACTGGAAGAATGGAGAACAAGACTATGGTTAATGTAATGGTGGAGGCAAAACAATGGATTGGGATGTGTGAAATAAAATTACTACAAGATGACTATATTACAAGCTTTAAGTCTGTATTGAAATTGAAATGATGAGGAAATAAAACACAAGTTAATGGAACTTACGAAATAGTTCCAACTTTCTTGGCACAAATAAAATATAAAAAAATTGCACACCAGGAGATATGAAAAGTGTCATTAAAATGTATTTTCTACATATGCTGTACATGCAATAATCTAGGACGAATAATACTAGATTTGAACGAAGACAAGAAGTATATTACCCATGGAAGAAAACCCCATTTATTGAATGGTCCCATAAGTTGCCAAACATGCAAAAAGAATTAAGGAGAAAAATCTGGTAGCTGGGGAATGGCCTCCTTCCTTGAGCTCTAATATGTAGTAGACATTTCTCTTGTTGTAAGGTTGAGAAAAAAGTGATATAGTCTGGTCCTTGTTATGAGAAAAATTTCAGAACTTTGTAGGTACATGTTATAACCCATTTCTGAAAGATATACCACCTCCTTGAATCGAAGAGTACAACCCACTATGTAGCGTCTCATTCTCACATAGGAGAACAAATATCTTGAGAAAATAGAATCCTGACATGATTACCATCTAAAATAGCCAGGAATTAATATTAGAACCATGTTGGATGTGGATACCTTGGAGGTTCTCCATATGAGCTTAGTGGTGAAATCTACCATAGTGATGCCAAGAACTCTCATCATGATCGAGGCAGATGTTATGGACGCTTTCATGTTTCACTATTGAAGTGCATAAATCAGAAATATAGCATCAATGACAGATGAACCACAGCTTCGGTGGTTGATTAGCTGCTCATGTTTGTGGCTTGATATTATTCAAAAGTAAATTTTCACGCACAACCTTAGGAAATAGAATTTCCCCACTAAGCTAAGGATTTTATGTTTTCTGATCCAGAGTCATCATTTCTATGTTAGCTCACTATCTTTCATATAATGAGGGCGATTTCACGAAATTACAACTAAAAAAATGTGTGGTCTTATAAAACAATTCAGGATCCACAATAGTTGGTAACATCAATATTCAGTTGGTAGGGTGAATCTATTTGCAAAAGGACTCATCTTACTTGTCAAGCTCAAGATACATCTTCGTTCTTTTGATTTTTTTTTTCCCCCTTTCCATTGTGATCTTGAATTTGTGAGCATGGTGGGTTTGACAATGAGTTTTGTTGTAGGATGTAGTGTTATCAACGTGCAAGGCGCAATGCCAGGCGCAAAGTCCCTTTACGCTCATATGCGCAAGGCACAATAAGCGCCACGAGCCCAAGCCAAGCGAGGCACCACATACATAATTTCCCAAGCCAAGCGAGGCACCACATACATAATTTTTCAAGATACATAATCAAGCACGAAGAACATGTTCATGAATTTTCACATAAAAATTTTGTCAAGATAAATAATATCTACTACTAAACCACAAAATAAGGTCTCAATATATAATGCTAACACTCCCAACATAGTAGAAAAGTTCATAGTTTTCCAAATCAAAAGTCAAATCAAGAATGTTATTGAAACAAAATCAAACAGTAAACAAGGACGAGTTAGAACCCTCAATCGGGCTGCTAAAATTGCCCGATTGAAATGTTAAAGAACAAAAATATAAAGAGGCTAAGTCTTGCATGTGTCCTGTGCAAAGTGTCCTCACACAGGGCTCTTGCGATGTGCAACGGGCGCTGCCGGACGATTCGCCATCCCGCCCATCATTGGGCGCATGAGGCGCAATGAGGTGTGTGCCTTTGATAACACCGGTAGGACGCATAGGAGTTGGAGTGCACACAACATGCATTGCCCCCTACTCACATCATGGCAGTTAGTGCCGCTAATCGAGTAGTTTTCTTCATGAAAGAAAACTACCCAGTACACGCCTACAAAAGTGTATTTCCTCCTCACATCAAAAGAGAGAGAGAGAGAGAAAATGTACATTCCCCCTCAAAAGAATGTATGTGAAAATGAACATGAGTGAAAACCACAGCGGAAATTCGTGAGGAGAGAAGTCATTTGAGTTGTGATTCTATACTTCCGATACTCCATGTTTCTCAAAATCTTACACTTGCACAGAGGATGAACAGAGAACTATAATCATTATAGTATCCCATTATAAAAGAAGATTTGCTTGTCAAAACCAAACAATCGCGTCATCCAAGTTAGGTCTAGCTCATAAATTATTATTTTTTTCTCGCCCAATAAAGCCAAGAAAAAAAATCAGCAAAATACTCACTCACCCAATTAGGATCAAGAATGTCAATTGCGTGAAGCCCGTGATCATCCTCCGGCACCACAATCTCCACACTCGGATCAATGGACTCAACATACCCTAACCCAAATCCAATCCATCCATCAAAACCTCAAAAAAGAAATTCTAAAATAATAGTAATAGTAATAATAGAAAAAAGGTGAGTAACTAAGTAGTAGTAAAAGCCATCAGTAGAAAATAAAAAAAAAAACTTTACCAGTGTGTTTGTTGTAGAGGGACCACAAGTTCTTCTTGAACTCGAGATTCGAGAAGAGGATCCGAACCCAAACCCGAAACTCGAACCCGTTGCTCCGCTTCCTGGCGTTGAGAATGGAACCGCGCTCGGGTCCGGTTCTCCGCGGCGAGCGGAGAAGCAGGGTAACCGGAGCCCGCAGTCCCCAAACATCGCGTTGTCGGTTGCAGGCGGTCGTGGGAGTCGCGTGATTTATTTTATTATTTTTATTTTTTACCCTCCGCATTTAAACGAGGAAGAAGACGTACGGTTGAGGGATGAAGCGCCGATGTGGTTGGGTTTCTGACGTACTTAGCGCGCGTGAGTCAAAGACAGTCAGTGAGAGGGCGAGGGCGCCACCTTGTTCTAGCTCTTCTTACCTCTTTCCTTGGTGATGGGGGGGGGGGGGGGGGGGGGGGGGGACGGCGAGTAATGTCCTGGGATATACTCTGGCCGCTGGCGATGGCGGCGGGACGTATTTTTAAGATAAACGTGGACCGCACGGTTCCATGATTTAAACAAGAGCGTGTAGGTATACAGCTCGAGGCCCGCAGCCTGTTAAAACTGGGCTAGGGCCGAAAACTCGCCCGATTTCGTGCTTATTGTTGGGCCGGATGGCTCTCAAATACCCCCTTGTTTTTTATCGCAATTATACTTAAGCTGTATAAAGTAGCATATAAATACCCTAAGTTGTCCGCTATTAGAGTATGTAAAAGCCTCATTGGTAGTGAATACCAATGGACCCTTAAGGGATGAATTCTGTTCTATCTCACCAGGAATTTCTTCAGAAAACTCGAAAGGGTCTTTTGAAGGAAAACTAGGCAGTAGATCTGCAAAAATTTGCCCATTTCTTACCAGCCGCAAGTGCAGGAGGAGAGAAACGTCGGGAATTGACAGATCCAGGCCCTCTCTGTTAAAAACCCCCCATTATGATAGAAATACTTCACCGTGTATAAATTAATGAAAAAATAGAGGGTAGGTGTTATGGTGTTCCTATTTGCTAAAGTGCAACTCAGTGCCAAAACAACGGACAAATGTACTTCTAGGTGCTATGCCCCAATCAACTTGATGACCAGAGACCAATAGAGACGACAACTCAGCCGACTTGTCGGGTCGACACCCCTTCACATCGACTTGAAAGGCGGTACTTGTCGCCCCCTTTCGTCGAAGACGACTCACCACGAGTCCACTCGGCCACTTGCCAGACGCCTTGCGAAATCGACTCGAAAGGCGTTACTTCTCGGCCAAACTAAAAGACAGCTTATGCCTTGAGCCTATCCTCTCTGGCAACGTGTCAATATCGTATTTAATGCATGTCAGGCGCATCATGTCCCTAGCCCTGATAGCCTTTATAAATTATCGGACCACATGGGCACTGCCATGTCGCCAATTACTTCTCGTTTAATGCCGAAGTGATCCATCCGCCACTCGCCAGCTGACACTTGTAAAGCAGGTGTTGACAGCCCATATTTCGCTACCGCCTCTCAGTGCTCAGCCGAAGTGACCGATCTACCCTATACTCTTGGTATAAATAAAGGTATTATTCGATCTTAAAGATGACTTTGGGACTTTCACTTCTTTTTGAAATCTGTTCAAAAATCTTATCCCTAAGTAGACATACTGCACACACAAGAACTCTCCCGGTTCATATTTTTTACCCCACTCAAGTTCATCAGCTAACTTGATCATCGGAGGTATAACGGAGAACCAAACCCCGTCCTCTCACGAGCTTCTACTTGTACAGATTCATCAACCCTACTCAAAAAACCAAACATAAAGTTGGGAAAGAAAGCGGCCTCTCATCAATCCCCAATTGATTCATCCAAACACAGATACATATTGACTGTGTGATCACTAATACATCAATAGTTTGGCGCCCATCGTGGGGCATCTTTCTTTTTTGAGAAAACATGTTAGGTTCTGAACAAGGATCTGATCAGTCTCACCCTGTAGAACGACACCGGAGCTACGTTACCCGAGCCCAGCTTGAGGAAACAACTTACAAGCTCTCTCAGTCTTTCAAAGAGCAATTTGTTGTCTTTAATATCAAACTTCTCAGCCAGTTTCCACAGCCACAGCGAGCTACCTCAGCTCTCCCTCTACCTTCTGGAGACCAGCAGTCGGAGACTCATACTCCTACCAGAGCTCAGCGAGTAGTCCAGCCCCGGGCTCCTCATGCTGAGGCCAAGCAGATGGGGGATCACGTTGAACACGCATCCCCACCATCGCGTCGATCGACTCACGCTGGCGAGTCTCGCTGACCTCACCACCATCATCAGGAGACCTCTGGTGAGAGTCTTGGCCCAGGTCACTTTGGGGACCGCAACGGTGGAGTGGCTAAGACTCTCCTCCGTCATCATGCCTCTCCTGCACCCTCTGTTACCGTAGGGTCCTATGGATACGACCAAGTGTACAGACCGGTCGTCGATGCCATCGAGGGTAACACCCCTCTCTCAAATGACATCATGAATGCCCCATGTGAGAAGTTCAAGATGTCTCACGTGGAGAATTACAAATGCGAGGGAGACCCTTCCGAGCATGTTTAGAATTACTATGATGTAATGAGCATGTTCCAAGCTTCGAAAGTAGTTATATGTCGATGCTTCCCCATCACTCTTTCAAGGAGTGCTAAGCTCTGGTGGAATGCCCTTGAGAAGAAGTCCATCAGCAGCTTCCAACAGCTCAGCCGGAAGTTCATCCACCACTTCCTGGCTGACACCAAAACTGTTGATGTACTAGTAATCACACATTAGGTATAGTGATAAATATGACAATAAATGAGATCAATACAATTACAAAAGAAACATGTGACATTCACATGAGAATATTCCCAAAAATATTTCTACATGTGACTAACAAAATATACTAACATGCTATGTTTTTACAACTTAGAATGTTAAAGTGCTATTTTTTTATAACTTAGGATATTAAACTACTTCTTTTTATAACTTAGGATATTTAATTATAAAGAGTGAAACAATAGGATATTTAAGAGCCATTTAGCCTTCTTCTTATTTGGTAAAAAGCATAGGGGAAAAAGAAAAAAATAAATAAATCTCCAAAACTGGGGGAAAAATATGAAGAACCGGAGCCATTTTGTAATGACTGTAAAATTTTGATATTAGTTAAAATAAATTTTTGGTATTTTAAAATATTTAATTATGATTTTTAAAAGAGTATTTGTATTTTTCTTGATTTTCTAGAATTTTCTATGATTTAAAGTCTAAGTTTTATATTTATTTATATGGTTTTTATATTTATAAATTAATTTAGTGTAATGAAAATTTCTGGAATTTATCCGTTGGTTTACCGATACTATTATGTATTATTTTAAATAATACGTCGTAATATTATTACTATTACGTATTAATTCTTGTATTATATTGAATTATTAATTACGTATTATTTGTGTAAATTATTGTATTATTTTAATTATTACGTATCAGCTGTCGTATTAGCATAACTGGTACGTTTTATCGTGTAGATAATTATCACATAATTATTTGATTTTAAATGTAAGTAAATATATTTTTATTATTAATTATTTCCGTTTAATTGTACAATATGGGTATATTTCGACAGTTTCGTATCAACTGTTGTATAAGCTCAATATGTACGTTTTTATTTGTAGATAATTATTATGTAATTAGTTTAATTTTTAAGTACCCAAAATTATTTATTTTAATTATTTTCGTTTAAATACCTGAAACTATTTGAAAATACTCCCAAATTATTCTGCTTCCCGTCAAACCCCAACAACCACGTTCCCACCCGCCTCATTTTTTCAAAAATAACTGCTACCCACGCGCATCTCATTCATTATTTTATCTTATTTTTTAATTTTTTATTATTTTTTCCCTATTCTATAGCGCCCATACTCTCCTCTTCAATACTGCCTGCTCCTCTCTCTTCTCTCTCTCTCTCTCTCTCTCTCTCTCTAACTCGAACTCGACTCGCCGCCGCCGCGCTGCCGCGAGCGCCCTTGCGACGCACTCGCCCTTCCGATCGCGACGCATTGTGGGTACAGCTCCGCAGATGGCGATCCCCTTGTCTGACCAGCCCCATCTAGTTTTGACGCCCTGTTCACCGCCTCTCACTACCGACCGCCGCTGCCCGCAACACCGCCATCTCCTCCTCTTCCTCCCCGCCTCCGCTGCTGGCCCCAACTCCCTCCGCCTCAGCCCCCTGAACCACCTCCAGCGCCTCCGCTCTCTCCTCGTCGCCGACGAGCTCCAGCCCTAGCTCCGCCGCCGCTCTGCCCTGACCCGCGCCAGCCCCTCCTTCCTCGTCGTGCTCCTCCGACGGATGCCCCAACAGCCCTCCGACAGCCTCCTCCAACCCGACGGTCGCCTCCTCCTCTTGCAGCCGTGAACCCCCGCGTCAGCCACCTCCGTCGCAGCCGACGAACCCGCTGCCTCCAACAACCCGCCGTGCCGCTGGCCCGTCGTTCCTAACCGCGCCAGATCAGACCCGCAGACTCGCCCGTCGACGTCGAATCGTTCGACAAAAACCCCGAGGCAAGATCCCGATACTCCTTTGACTTGATATTCAATTCTTAGACCACTCTGAATTAATTAGCTGCTTGCAAGATCCCTATTCTTGCTCAGTACAATTTTAGATTGATCACAAATTTATTATGCATACGAACTCGTTACCCGAATAATTATTCGTTACAAATACGGAACAGTCGTGAACATATTGGACTGGGAACTATAACGTATAGAACTGTTGTGAACGAAATGGACTGTGGACAATAATGTATGACCATTCACATTGTAATACATATACTGTGATGATTTGTACGGATTTATTTGACGAATGATATTAAAAATAATATTGTGATAATAGATACTATAAAGATAAAATAAAATAAAATTATTTTAGATTAATTAATAATTTTAAATAATTTTATTGACAAAATAATCAATTTAAAATAATTACTATTTTGGTGAAAAATCATTTTAGAGTAATTATAATAAATTAATAGAGTTGATTTGACAAAAGAATTATTTTAGAATAATTATAAATAATTTAAAAGAATTTATTTTAGATTAAGTATCAATTTAGAATAATTTCAGTAATTTAAGAAAGTTTTATAAAAA